TGTCCATGTATTATTACACAGCAGAAGAGAGTATGTGTTGTGGCACTGCTTGCTTGGCATGGAATGAGAATAAAAGAATAAACAAAAGCAAAAGCGGGACAAACGGAAAAGCAAGAGGAGAAAACACACAGAAAAAAAAAGAAAAGACCGCAGTCACAAAAAAGAAATGCAGTGCGCCAATAAAAATACAAATGTTTCTAAAAAGCTGGCTGGGGACCACATAAAAAGAGCATCGCTGTTGTTGTTGCTTCCCCAACACATATGCATAACAACAACAAGTGGAAGTGTGACAGCAACTCCAGGGCACTGGACTCACCCAGCACAGCACCACCGCCTCCACCACACAAGAGGAGAGATTTTTGCCCTGACAAGCAAGAGGAGAAGGTAGTATAGAATGCTGGCTGGAGGATTTGCCCATGGAAATGCATCAACACATTGCAAAGTATTTGGACCCTGTTGAAGTGTTGGTGATGGGCCAGGTGTCAAGAGCCCTTTGCCCTTTCTATGTGCTGGACTGGCACTGTGAGTGCATCTGGCTGTGATGCTTTTCATGTGGCTCAGTGGAGCTGTTTAAATGTGATGGAGTGCTCAAGGAGCCACTGACAGAGGAAAACAAAGACTTGTCAGATGATTGTTGGAAGCTGTTCTTTGATGAGACTGGGTGGGATTACAGAGGCAAGGGCAAATGGCTGTGTGAGCCTTGCAGCTTAAGTGGTCACATGATATGCAAGAACAAGGAGGACAACTGCCTGCTCTAGCCCAAGGGAAGGATTGAGACTCAGCTGTGTCTCAAGGAGATACACCAAGGCCCCTTGTTTGTTGAAAGGAAGCTTGTGTGCTAGTGTTGGGAGTGCTGCCCAAAGTTCACACAAAAATGTACAGAATGTGAATATGGGGTCATGGTCAAATGGACCAACACAACATGCAAGCCCAAGTTTTTAAGGGACAATCTGTGGGCCTACTGCAAGAAGGACATGTTAATGTGTTATCACTGCTCAGACAATGGCATGCAAGACTCTTATCTGTGGTACATCAACAATTGGTACGCCATGCAAGATGCCAAATGGGAGGAAGTGAAGGAGGCATGCAAGAGGATGGACGCCATCCAGTGACAGTGGACAAAGGTGCTCTCACCTGACCATCATTCTTAATTAAAAAAAAAGCACCAAGTGTTGCTACCATTGCTTTATTAGAGCCATTTGTTCTCTAAGTGAACAGTCCATTGGTCCTTCTGTATCAACTCCCATAGAGCCTCCTGGGGTGTTTGACTGTTATCTCCTTGTAGGCATTTGCGCTTTCAAGTGAAGGCCTGCCCTGTTCTGTCATGTTGAGGTTTGAAATGACTATCCTCCTGGTCTTCATTCAGCTGTCAAAGAATGATGCCCTCACTACACAGGCTGCGCTGAAACTTATTGTCATTGGGTGGTGGAGGTGTATCACATCGCCAGGCATGGGACATGCCACTGTGCCTTGATTGTTTGCTGGCATTTTGACCCACATAAAGAACTCCTCACTCCCATAGTTCCCCTCTGCTACACTGTTGCTACCTTCTCTGTGCTCAGTGCCCCTGCCCATTCTGCACAGCACCCTCAGAGATCTCAACCATTCCTCCTCTTCCCTTCCCCTCGTCACTCCTCCACAATCAGCAGCAGAACACATGGAATATGAAGAGGAAGATGGAGAAGGAAACATGTCAAACATCTCCTTGTTGGCAATGTGGTAGTGCCTGTTCAAATCATTGTAAAAGTCTGGTTGACCAAAGTCCAAGTACCTTGGTTGGGGATTCCATGCTGCATATCTCTCTGATGATGTGTGTGGTCCCCTCCTCCTGCCAGCCATGTGTTGGTGACTCATCACATAAGGATCACCTTCTCCTTCTTCTGTTCCTCCCTCACCCAATGTGTCACTGTCCACATCCATTCCCTTGCTAGTGCTGGTTGCATGTGATGTGCCTGGTCTAGTTCCACGTGGTCTCTTCCTTGTGCTCTGTGCGTTTGTTGTTGTCATTGTCAACACATCATCAAAAACCACCACACATTGGCATGAGTCCAAACATGCCACTCCCCGTCCTGAAGGCAGGTGATACCTCTTGAGGTAAACCTGACAATCAAATAGATATTGAAGGAGCCAATACAAATTTATTGTAGACTATGAGCCTACTGGTCTGCGCCAGTCCCAGGGCTGGTTAGTAGGCTGATGCTTGGTTTACCTAGGAAAGCAGGAGGAGTGCCACATCAGCAAACAGCACAAAGATGAGAAGATTTCCTCTTCTTTTTCTTTATGATACTTTCCTTTAATAGTATACTATTTTCCTGATACGAGAAAGGCATAATAACACCTCTCAGGCAAAAACCTTACCGAGGTACCCACGCACATCCTCGCCGACGTATCCCGTATACATGTCGGGCCTGATGACCACAAACGCCGCCTCGCCCGCCTCGACCGACGTCTTGTCCGGCACGTTCGAGATGCACGCATACGCCCTGTCCGCTTCCGGCGCCTTCTCCGGCGCACCAGAAACATCCCACGTGTCAACGAAGCCCGCCCACTTGGCGTCCTTCGGCGGCGCCCACGATCTACCCCGCAGCGACAGCACCAGGAACTTGCCGTACTTGCGCGCGCTGTAGAGCCGCTGCGGCTCCTCGCCCTCCTCGTGCAGGAACACATCCGGCGCGCGGTGGCCCGGCACGAAGATCCCCTGCGCCGTCCCGGCGACCAGCGGCGTCACGCCCTCCGGGTACGCGACGCCCATGCCGGTGATGTAGCCCGCGTTCTTCTCGATCATGCCGACATACTCCTTCGCCGTCTTGACCGTGCTGCGCACCAGCTTCGCCGCCACGTCGATGACGCCGACCGCGCACGCGCGCCTCTCGTCCTCGTAGCTCTGCCACAGCGCCTCCGTCGCGTGGCCCTGAAGCGCGAGCAACAGCCTCCACGCGAGCGCGAACGCGTCGGCCTGCCCGGTGTTGAGCCCTTGCCCGCCGTTGACGGAGTGGATGTGCGCGGCGTCGCCGGCCAGCGCGATGCGCCGCTTGGGCGAGAAGTAGGTCCGCGCGACGCGCTCCTTCACCTCGAAGATGGAAAACCATTCCGTGCGCTGGAAGTCGACGCGATACGGCGCGAGGAACTTGCGGATCTCGGCTTCGATGCGGGGTTGGTCGGCGGCGGAGTTGTCTTCGAGGAGGGTGTAGAAGCGGGCCATGCCGCGCTCTCTATGGGAGGAGGGTTAGTAAGTGTTTGAATTCTCGTGCTATCTATATTGTCTTTACTTTTTTGAAAAGAAAGATGGAGAGAACGTACCTTGGGATCCACGAAATACGGGCCTGACCAGCAACTTGGAAGGTGATGATCTCCGGGCACACAGGGAAGTCGGTGTCGATGAAGGTGTCGAGGACGTGCCACACCATGTTGGGCTTGTCGCCCTCAAAGGGGATGTTGAGGGTGTTGCGGACGAGGGACTTGGCACCATCCGCACCGACAGCGTAGCGGCTGACGATGACCTTGTCGGCGAAGGTGGTGCGCACATAGTCCTCGCCGTCGATGGTCACTTCCTCGATGTTGAGGGCCTCATGGCCGTGGTGGCAGGTGATGTCGAGCATCGAGTGCATGGCGGCCTCTACGTCGGCCTGGCCGATCATGAGGAAGTTGGGCCGCGCCGTGTTCTTCAGCGACACCCACCAGTCATTCTGCCGCGACACAAAGTTGCCGTCCGAGAAGGTAGAGCTCGCTGCCAAGCACAGTCAGTGTCTGAATTGGGCTCGCGTGGATAAGGGATTACCCACTGTTGCACTTCAGGCCCTTGGGCTCCAGCTTGTCCAGCACGCCAACGACCTCGAGCGTCTGCTGGCTGCGTGCATTGAGGGCGTCTGCACGGCCGACGGGCAGCGATGTCGGTGCCTTGTCTGCAATGAAAACCGAGTGGCCTAGCTGGCGCAGCAGCAGGGCAACGGTCAGCCCAGTAGGGCCGGCTAGAGAGTGGAGTCAGTGGTCCTGTTTTGGTCCGGTTTTGGTGGAGGTTTGCAGCGCCGGGCGTACCTCCAATGATGGTGACGTCCGCATAGATCTCCTTGATGGACATGGTGGAAGAATTCAGAGTGCACACGTATGCTGAGAGTGGGCGTGCAGGACAATGGGTCAGTGGGTGCTGGTAAAAAAGCTGCGAGGTACACAGCAGACAGCAGTGCAGGGGCGCCGAGGGTGAAGTACGCGACTATGTGTATTGGTGCTAGCACGGATAGGAAAAAGAGGGAAACACGCTGGGACTGACGTCGGCAGGTGCACACCCCGGGAGGCCGTACTGGGAAAGTTCCGCTGACGTAAGCGAGGAATGTCAAGAATCATAAGGGACATATCGGCGCGTCGGGGTAGAGGTTTTCCGTGTCGATATCTTCTTGTCATCTTCCCCCGTCTGAGAGCGCTGTGTCTGTCTGGCGTCTGTAGACAAGAACCCACCAGCTTGTGGCTCACCCCGCTTGCAGTCTTTCCCCCGTAACCCAACCATGCTTCACCCAAATACAAAAATGGTGATCGCAACCCAAACCGCCGACGCCATCCTGTCCGTCGTTGAGTCGTACCGCCTGAAGGCCTCCCCCTTTGACTCCTCCATAGTCCCCCAGTGCCGGGAAACCATCCTCCCGCTCATCCAGAAGGCCGTCGAAGCGAAAGAGCCCGTCTCCTTCATTCTCCCTGCTTTCCCCTTCAAGTCGCCCAATAAAGTCGACAAGGTGCTCGGCGTGCTGCCGGACAAGTGTGAGGAAGTTGCGCTGCTGCACCTCCAGGGCTTCTGCAACAACATAAGAGACGTCTACGCTCCGGGCGCGGAGCTGACCATCGTGTCCGATGGCATCGTGTATAACGGTACGTCCCCCTTCCCGAAAACCTCGAACTGAATCACACACTAACACCCCCCAGACCTCCTCGGCGTGCCCGACGCCACCGTCCATGAGTACGGCGAGCGCCTGCGCCAAATGACCATGGACCTTTCCTGCAACAGCATACATTTCGCGCGGCTCTCGATGATGCCGTCGCTGAAAGCCAAGCTGCCGGTCGAGCTGCTCGACTACCACGACACGGCCAGCTACGAGAAGGTGGCGCCGCTGGTGCGCGACACGTTGATGGCGACGTACGTCGATAAGGGGTACGACGTCAACAGCCACATCGCCCATGACGAGAGCGTCAAGGCCACGTATATGGGCTACCTCAAGTACCTGTCCCGCGACCTGCGGCAGTCCTCCACCAGTCGGAACGCGTTCAAGCGGGAGGTGTCCAAGGTGTCCAAGAAGATGATCGCGCGCGGACAGGTGAGCCCAAACGACAACAAAATCCCCTTACCTACCAAGTAACCAAACCACCAAACACCAAGGATCCCCATGCAAACATTCGCCAAACTTTCTCCACCCACCAGTGCTACGCCGCCTGCGTCAAAGAGTCCTTCCCGCACTCCGTCCGCCTCTCCATCCACGCCGCCAACTCCGCCACCAAGATCCCCATCGCCGTTATCCCCAACGTCCAGGACCACCCCATCACGCCCTGGCACAGCGTCATGACGTGCGGGCTGGACGGCATACTGCGGCCCATGACGCGCAAAGAGGTCGCCAAGCGCTCCGACTTGGAGCCCGTCTACAAGCCGGACGGCCAGCTGTGGTGCTACCGCGAAAAGAGTGCGCTGTACGATGTTTTCACCCGCCAGGGCGCCTTCGTCGACCACACCTACCCGTGCGGCCTGCTCATCCAGTTCCCGGCCGGCACGCCCTTCAGCGCCGCGGACATGCAGACTGTTCGCAAACTGTCCGACCACAATCCCCCCTGTGGTCCTGCGCGGCCTGGACGGCACGACCGACCGGCAAGCCTTCCTGGCCAAGGGCCGGGAGATGGGGCAGATCATGCAGTGGAAGTTCGGCGAGCTGCTCGAGGTCAAGGACGGCGGCGAGAATACGGCGGGGCTGAACAACGTGCTGTCCGCCGAGCCCATGCCCATGCACTACGACGGCCTGTTCAAGATGGTCAACGGCGAGTCGACGCCGCCGCACTACCAGATTTTCACGGCCGTGACGGTGTCGCCGAAGGGCACGGGGCGCACGCTGTTCGCCACGAGTCCTTTGCTGTTCGCGAACCTCACGGGCGGCTGGACGGTCGACAAGCTGCGGCCCTACAAGTGGCGCGTCGACTCCGAGTCGTTCGACTCGTCGCACTTCGGGCAGCTGCCGCTCGTCGTCGACCACCCGGAGACGGGCGTCCCGTGCATCCGGTACCACGAGGACTGGCCGCAGGAGCGGACGCGCTTCGAGGAGACGCGCATCAGCATCGAGGACACGGACAAGGCGACGGACCTGAGCATCCGCACGGCCGTCGAAAAGGCGCTGTACGACTGGCGCGTGTGCCTGCGCATCGGCTGGGAGAAGGGCGACGTCTTGGTCAACGACAACATCCTGAACATGCACACGCGCGAGGGCTACACATCCAAGTTTTGCCGCGAGCTGTGGCGCCTGCACGTCGACTAGGCTAGGTGCTGATGAGAAGGTGAAAGAAGGGTATAAGGGAAACTGTAGGGAGAGAGGAGGTAACACTAAAACACACCCGATCGCCCCTCCTCTGCTGCCATCAGCCACTCCAGCCGTCCGCCTGTCCCTGTCCGATGCCTCACGGCGTTCTTCTCTCCGTGTCTCGCAGATAGGAAGCACGTGGATTCCCTGCTTCACTCTGCCCTCTTACCGAAGGTCATGCGCCGAGGTTGACTGCGAATTGGCACCCACACACATTCGAGGATGTGCGTTTTATTAATGTGTTTGAAAAAATTACAATTTCCTCAAATGATGTTTATTTAAATCAAACGCAACTCGCTATTGGCCAGTTCGTGCGAATTCTAACGGCGGTGGATAAGGGCGCGCTCGTAGGTTATTCGGCGGTGCCACAGCCACAGGGAGAGGACGACACCGATGGCGCAAGCGCCGGCGTTGACCCAGAAGGAGTACCGGAAGCAGAACTTGTTGTTGCAGTGAGACGTGGTGGGGCCGCCCTCGTAATCGACGGTGAGGAAGTTACCGTCTTCCTTGTAGTGATCGTTGAGCATGCCGGCAATCAGCGTGGAGAAGACCGGACTGCCGGCAGCGGCAGCCAGGTTGATAATGCCAAAGTTGGTGGCAAAGTTCTTGAAGCCGAAGAACTCGATCGTGAGAGTGGGCACGCAGAAGAATACACCGCCGCCGGCGATGCCGAGCGCGATGACGCCCGGATAGAGCAGCCATACGGATTTCGCGAACGAGAACCACAGCTGGACGAGGCCCATCAGAAACGCTGAGAAGACGAGGAACAGCACTCGCGCGGGCTTGCCCAACCGTGTCGTGACCCAGTCCGAGATCCAGCCCATTGCCATCCGGCCCAGCATGTTGCACGTGGAGAACAGAGCGACAAAGATTGTTATCTGTTGATAGTCCGGCACGTTGTGCAGCAGGTACTGTCGTGGTTTGTGTTAGTAAGAAGCGTCAGTCATATGCTAGCGTTGGAGCGTGCTGTCGTATGAGAAGTCTGTTGGTGAGAACAGGGAGAGAGAAGACGCACAGTGACGTCGGGCTCGACTTTGACATTGGCGAACACCATCTCAGCGAGATTGTTGACGGCAGTGATGCCAGGACCGGTACACAAAAAGTAGCTGACGAAGAGAATGTAGAAGTCGAGGCGTTTGAGAACCTGAAGCAGGCTCAGATCCTCGAGATCGCTGTTGGGCTTTAGACTGCTGTCGCGGAGGCTTCTCTTTAGGTCATCGTCGCTCGCCTCCATCAAGTCATCATTCACCATCAGTGCAATTCCATCTGTTACGACCTTCCCTTCCTCCTCGGCGAGCCGACTGCGGAAGAAGACCAGGGGTCCGGTCTTGACCGGCACTAGCAGGAAACCCAACATCAAGACGAGCAAGGCGATGCCAAATGGCAGCGGGGTAACAGTGGTCAAGCCTGTGGTGTATCAGGTTCCGACAAAGCGCAAGTTGATCAGCACAACGTAAATGCATAAAAATACAAAGATGAATGTAGGGCATTAGCATACCACCAGCCAAAGACGCGCCGGTTTGGTAGAGAGCCAGGACAACGGCCATGACAATGACGAACATAACTCGGTTCATGAGACCCATTTCCTGGAGTGAACATCGCGCTTGAGTGCGGGAAGAGTGCGAGGTAGAAGCGCTGGTATCAAGCAAAAAGCGGAGAGTCCCCGTACCGCGTCACTAAATGGCGTGGGAACTTTGTTGATGAAGATTCCGATGATAATAGAGCCCGCGCCAATGAAAATGGCGAGGAAGAGCAGGAAGGTAACGACATGGTTACCGAAGAATGCTTTGTAAAGCACCGTGAGCACGCCTGAACCCAGACCGAAGAAGCAGATCAGCGAGCCCACCACCTATAGCGTGACATCAGCCGAACGGTAAGAGTGGAAAGATAGAGAGACAAGGATTAGGAAACGCGCTGGTTAGAGCAATCCGATCGATGCAGATAACGAGACTAAGCAGCAACCACATCAGTACAGCATCATCCGTACCTTTCCTCGATCTTTTGCGCGGAAGTTCTGAGTGTTGATCTTGAGTGCGACGCTGTAGATCCAGCAGCTGCCCTGGCCTAAGGTGAAAGAGAAAAGGCCTAGCACATAGCTTGGAATCGTGTTGAACCAGTTCGCCGCCGCCCACAACAGGAAGTAGCCTGCATTCAGTGCGAGCGCGTCAGCAAAAACATGGGTCATTCCCTTCCTATGGTCACCTCGTGCAACGATGATCTCGTACCCACGAAGCTCATAATGCCACCGATGATGACTGTCGACCGCGGCCCAAAGCGATCTAGCCACAGGCCGCCCAGCACACTGAACAAACCGCCTGCAGGCATCGACGCGTGAGGATAAGCAAACGGAAAGGGCAGGGAGCGATGGGAGGGGAAGGACAGACCGACGTTGCCGAGGGTGCCAACTAAGTTAGTCTGCGCAGTGGTGTAGCCAAAGATGACATTGATGGTGCTCGAATAGACCGAGAACAGGTAGAATGAGCCCGAAAGTATCATGAGGTAGACGCCCGCCGCCAGCGACACCCATCGCGAGAACCAAAACGGCAGCACATAGTTGGCGAAGTTGGGGAGCGCCATCGCTTGACTTTGCCCTACCCCTGTGCACTGGGAAAAGTTCGATTTGCCTCGGTCCTGTCTTTAGCGGCGAAAACGGCGTTTCATACTCCGCTTCGGGAGAAAGGCGCGAGAAGCTTCTGGCGCCGAGTGCCGGCGTGTCATTTCCACCACCTTTGCGCCTTTCCGAAAGTCCGAGAAAGGCGGCGGCTGCTAAGGTGGCTGCAGCGCCAAATATCATTTTTCGGAAACGCTATGGGTTTGAATGGAAATAATAATTTCAGGTCTATCCTAATGGACTTAGTGTTTTTTTCATGTAGGCGGCCCCCCACCAATTGTGCATGCGCCGTGCGCAAATCCAACGCGCAAGAATAAAAGCTGTACAATTTGTGCGCGATTTGCGGCGGCTGCTGCAACCTGCTACCACAAAGCGGAATGGCCTTTTTTCGTACCCGGATTTTTGTGGCAATGAATGGTCCGGAGGCGAAGATGCAGAAAGAGTTGAAGCTCCCCGCCCCAAATGGCCTCAAAAGTTGTTCTCAACTATACCAGCCAATTCTTCAAGTTGAGGGGCAAACGTGCCGTGTGGCCCACTCCACAGGGAGTCTTGACAGAGGTGAGGCTGTTTGTCAACACTGCCCGCCAGTCTGGCTGGACACTTGAGGTATTCATCGATGACTGCTGCAAGACTGAGGAGGTTATGAGGAAATGGCGTAAGTGAAGAGAAAGAAGTAAGGGTGGGGCACAGGAGAGTCCCGCAGGGTGTCAATTGCCTGTTCAGTGACATGTTTGCTTGGCTGGGCATGCAGGTCCACTACTCACATGAGGCTGACAATGACAACACTATAGTAGCCCACACGTTCGCCCACTCTGTGGCTGTGCTGAGTGCTGACTGGGACATGTACTGGTACACTGGCATTTCCCCACCACTTTGTGTGTTCAATACCTTTGCTGTGTGTAAGGGTGATCCCCCTGCGCTGCTGTTGTCCAAAAGGCCTCCTAACAACCAATGCTGCAACTCGCCCAAAAGGGCTGTGACTGTGCCCCCGCCAGCCACCAACGCCACCCTGCACCCTTGCTCTTGTCTCGTTCTGCATGGTCTCTTCCTTGACATGGGCACCAAATCGTAAGAGAGTAGTGCGTCCAAGGGGGCAATCGCTGAAGTGCTGCCCCCTCCACTGATGGATGAATGTGATCTCTGTCTTCTGTTTCAAATACTGCCTCCCCCACTCCCTCTACTTTGCATTGTTGTCACTGCTCTGCCGCTATTGTTTGTTTTTTTGTTTTTCAGAATGTGTTTGCCCACTCACTCCACTGTGTCAGCATTCTCCTTTTATTTAAGCCCTTAAACTAAACAATTTAGAAAAACTACAATTAAATTCTAAATTAAAGGTATGCTGAGAATGTGTAAACAAGTCGACAATATTTCCGCGCCAGACTGGGGGGGAGGGGGGACGTTTGTTGCTGGAGGAGTGCCACATCAGCAAACTGCACCAAGACAAGCAGATTTCCTCTTCTTTTTCTTTATATGAGATACCTTCCTTTACTATTTTTCCTGATATGAGAAAGGCATAATAACAAAGGATACAAAATATGATAGTGGTGGTAGTTTATTCATTGTGCACTAGTCTTGACAGTGGCAGTGAGCTCCTCTTGGCGTTTCTTCTTCTCAGCCATGACCTTCTTGAGGTAGGCCTTCAGGTGCACATTCTCCTGTACATGTCCATTTTGTATTGTCCATCATTGACAAATGAGCATGTGCTCCAATCCATGTAGGTGTTGAACCTCCTGGGTGGACAAGGAGGCTCCTTTAACTTTGGGTCCAGCACAGGAAAGAGGTAGAGCAACCTGACAATGGAGAGCGCTGTTCCATTGTGAATGCCATCAAGGAATTGGCAATAGAGCACAAGCTCTCCATCTCAGTTGTGTACCATTCCTTTGCCCTGGAGGAGCCCATTGCTGTGAATGGAGAAGCTGACCTTGTCCACCTCAATATGTTGAGGCATATATGTGAAATGCAGAATGTCTCCTTGCCACTCCAGCTCATCATTGTAGTCATCCCTGTCAACCTGGCACATCATCTCCATCTTGCCTCCCCACCACGCCTTGGCCTTGTTTGTCATCTCCAAAGCACCAAGTCCACACAGCTCCCCCAGGAACTGTGGCTTGTCAATTCCCTTCCAGTCCAGGATGTCTAGGGTGTAGGGCCATTCCTCTCTCACAATGGGGAAGAACCCAGTTATCTTGATGTTGAGGTTGTACATGAGCAGGCTCTTGACAAGCTTGTTGATCTTGGCCTCCAGCTGCTTCCCCTGGTCCATGTCCAAAGTCCTGTAAACATACTCCATGTCCTTCTCCATCTTGTTGTTGTTACTTGTTCCTTCTTCCATTGTCCATCTTTCTCCTAGCTGGTGTGTTGTCTGATTTTTTGACTGTTGTTTCTTTTTATGAGACAATGTAGTGTCCAATTCCATTAGGGGGGGGGCAATAAAGATAAGAACTCCTCCTTTTTGCCAGCAAGGGGAAATATCTATCTCAGACATTGTGTCAAGTGTTTATTTTTTCCACTGCAAGTAAGGAATGTCTGCAAAGGCCAGTGGAAGGCTGAGGAGGATTCTTGTGATTTCCTCATCAGGCACCCAGCTGGTTGATGGTAGTCTTCTTCTGGCCTAGACAAGGCAATTGAAATTGCATGAGGTGAGTGTACATCAAGAAGAAAGGTAGAGCTAGACTGGAGGAGACTGTACCAGCGTGGGGGGGCAAAGGCCATTGCATCGGCACAAATCTGAGGAGCAGGACCAGCCCTAGCAATGTCAGGCATGCCCACCCTGAATTCTGGGAAGATCCACTCACTGTCCTGCTTATGGGGGATGTTGGGGTAGAAGGTGGTTAAGCTGGCGCTGGTGGTGTCATCAATGCCCAGCTCTGTCAATGTCCATGGTCATGCTTTCACCATGGTAAACAGCATGCCTGGTGTAACCACCTGCTGTGTGCGCATCCTGAACTTGTCATAGAGCAGCGCTGCAAACCTGCTCACATGTGGTGAGGCCATTGATGTGCCTATGAATATTATTATTAACAAGGTGTGGATGAGAGGAGCAGGTGAAAAATCAAGGTACCACTGTAGGCCACGTATCCACCAGGAATAGTGCTCCACACTTGCCAGCTGGGCGCCGTGACATCAACCTCCCTGTTCATGTTGCTGAAGTAGGCGTTCTTGATGGTGCTCAGGTCATCAGTGCTGGTGGAGATTTGGACAGCGCCAGCTCCTCAGTGGCCAGGTTGCAGTCACCTTTGTTGCCCACCACAGCAACTACCAGTACACCATTGTCTACAGCATTCTGAATGGCAGTGTGCATTGGGTGGTAGGTGATGCATCCTCCCAGGCTC